AAGCACAAGAAGCACAAGGCCGAGTGGCGCTCGTCCTACGAGGGTGAGGCGCGGCGGGCGGACGGCCGGGGACGGGGTCCTGGGACTGGAGCAGGGACCCAGGAATGGGGTCCTAGGACTCGGTCGTGGTTTTTGGCGCAGGTTTAGGGGTCCCAAGGATGGGTCCTGCTGGAGGTGGGGACTGGAGCTGAGGGTCCTGGGCAGGTAAGGGTCTCTGGTGCAAGATGGGGTCCTGGGTTGGGTAGGCAGCAGGGACTCCAGGCTCACTGCTGCAGGCGTACTTCTCCTGCCCTGGGGAAAAGAGCACAGCGTTTCTGCTGCTCTCCTGCCCATCCCAAGGAGAAGCTCCCGCTTTCTGTCTGCCTTTTCTCTTTTTCTGCCCTGAATCTGTAGCAGGTGATCGATTTGTGTCAGGGGGTGTTCAACAGGACTAGGAGTTATGAGGATGGGAGATCAGAATCTTGAGTCTCTAGTGCCAGTCTTGTTCCTTCTCCTAGCAGGGTAATGTGAGCAGTGTCCCTGCACAGCCTCCCACCGCAAGGCTAATGTAGTTAGAAAGCGACTTGAAGGTCACTTCAGAGGGAATGGGGAAGAAGGGAGGGAGTAGCCTTGCCATTATGGGCTTGCCCCTCCATGTTTCCCAGAGGGTTTTGGCAGTCTTGAGGCCAGCCTATCCAGACTCTTGGGCCTTGGTGTTCTCTTGGTAATGCTGGCACACTGGACCAACCCTTGCCACCCAACTGGCAGGTGCTTGCCCCTAAGCGCATAGTGAAGCTCGCTGTCTGTGTCTGTGCAGACTATGCAGATAAGCCCTTGGAGAAGCCCCTGAAGCTGGTCCTGAAAGTCGGAGGAAGTGAGGTGACTGAGCTCTCGGGATCTGGCCACGATTCCAGCTACTATGACGACAGGTCAGACCATGAGCGAGAGAGGCACAAAGAGAAGAAGAAGAAGAAAAAGAAGAAGTCAGAGAAGGAGAAGCATCTCGGTGATGAGGAAAGGAGGAAGCGGAAGGTAAGGGCGAGCTGAAGGTAGCAGCCACTTTGCTGATGCAGAGCCAGGGCCCAGACCATGTGTCTGCATGGCCTGAGGAGGGGGCACTCTGGTTGTATGTAGCAAAGCAGGAACCACCACTACTGACCCCCACTGGAGGGTGTCTTTGTGAAGGAAGGAATCTTAAGTAAGGAGGGTCTCTGAGGGAAGATTTTTCTCTTGTGGCTTAGTGTTGTCCCTGGAAACTGAGAAGGCGGTTGGGCAAGCATGTTTAGTGCCAGCTGTCTCCAGCCTGGGTTGAGGCCCCAACTGCCCCTGCTGCTCTCACTCCTGTGGCTTTACCTCCAGGAGGAGAAGAAGCGGAAACGAGAGAAGGAACACTGTGACACGGAGGGAGAGGCCGATGACTTCGACCCTGGGAGGAAGGTGGAGGTGGAGCCTCCCCCTGATCGGCCAGTGCGAGCGTGCCGGAACCAACCAGGCAAGGCTCTGCCTCGTCAGAGACTTCCCTACTGAGAGAGCTCTCCATTGTAAATGTAGGGTTGGCACCATGTCTTCTTGCTTGAGGAGAAGCATGAGAAGGAAGAGAACTGGATTTTTTTCTTCCAGAGCCTCATACTAGATATCCCCTGATTACAGAGTTCTTGCCAGCATCTTTCCAGAGCTTGAGCAGGACTTAGCCCGTTACCACTCATGGTCTTAAGTTTTGTTTTATTTTTTTAACCCATGAGCAAAGAATGGCTTATATATTTTTAAGGACCTTCAAACAGAAACAGAAGGCGTATGCCACAAGATCTACAGTATGTGACCCATAAGCTTAGACTATTTGTTATTTCATGTTTTTTTTTTTAGAGACAGGATTTGGGTTTGTCACCCAGGCTAGCAGTTATAGCTTACTGCACTCATAAGCTCCTAGGGTTCAAGTGGTCTTCCTGCCTCAGCCTCTCGAGTAGCTGGGACTATAGGTGTGCACCACCATGCTTAGTTAATTTTTAAATTTTTTGTAGCAATGAGGTTTATGTTGCTTGGGCTGGTCTCAAACTCCTGGGCTAATCCTCCTACCTCATACTCAATAAGCACTAGGAGTATGGGCACAAACCATTGTACAACCCCCTAGGCTATTTTTTGTGCTTTACAGAAAACTTTGCCAGCGCTGAGTCTGTAATTTGGTGTTATCTGCTCTTAGTACCCAAAATAGAGCAGCATCAGAAGAGCAGCCCCATCTTAGACTCGCAGAGTACAGGTGCCAACAAAAATGTACATAATTCCCATTCAGAGGAAGGAAACTAAAGGCCCAAGTTAGGGATCTGGAATTGCTTAAAGTGACCATAGGCTGAGAAGGAAGAAAGCTAGAGGCCATTAGTGCCTTTCTGTCATGGACACTGTCAGGGTCAGAGTTTGGCCAGAATTCCCACCTGACACAAGTTCACAGTGACAGGGGCATTCGGACCTACAATAAGGAGTGTTTCCTGCCAGTGAGTCACTGTGTCTGGTAGAACATGAAACATTGGGGACCTGGGACATTAGAGATGGGAGGAGGCCATCAGAAACCATGTGAGCCATGCTGGCTTCACCAAAGGAACTTCCTGGAATGCTTGCACACCTTTGAGCCTATGGTCATTTTGCTCTTCAGCCATTTCTTTTCTTGAATTTTTTATTTGACCACCTCTAGTTTGCTTGGGAAGCAGGAGATATCATAGTGCAGTTCTTGTGGGGAGAGACCACTGGTTTTATGCAAGAACCCCTCCCCTGTGCAAGTTGGCAGATAAATGATAGCACTCATGGGGCTACTGCTGGCATGCTGGTGAGTGAAGAAGCTGGAGGGAAACAGATGAATAGAGGAACATGCCTGCAAAGTTAGTGTAGTTGCTAATAGTGGTTTTAACCACCTGTTGAGGTTCTACGCTGACTCCTCCTCCTCCCAGTGTGCCTGGAGAGCTAATAATGGGATGATGCTTCTTGCACATTTCTGAGTCACTCTCAATAGCGTCACTGTCAGAAACCTGCTGTTTGAGGCCCACCGTGGGCCCAGGGATGTAGTTAACAATTGCAGTCCTCATGAGAACTTCTATGTGTGTGTGTTCATCCTTATTTTCCAGTTGAGAACCGTAGACAGAACTAGAAGTTGAGCAATTGCAAATGAAGTAATAATCAGGGAACTCAGGATCAACCTCTTTGTCCAAAGCCTTTGTTGTCTCCTCCAGGCAAGGAATAGTGGTCTGAGCTGCAAACAGACTGAGTAGTAATGGTCTCATATTGTTGACTTAAGGGATACTGGGATTTTAAGAGGATTTTGAGAGTGATGCCATGGGTGCCCTTCCGACCAAACTGAGCTTCGAGGGAGCCAAGGCCAAGTCTGATGTGTCTTCACCTCCTCAGCTCTTGCTTGAACTTAAAATGCCACGAAACATCAAATAAATTTTGTGCAATGGGAGCTTTCTAACGACGAGATGCCAAAGTGTTTTTGTTCATTTTTATTTTTTTACTTTTTAAATTGTCAGCTGAAACTGAGAGCACCCCCATTCAGCAGCTGCTGGAGCACTTCCTCCGCCAGCTCCAGAGGTAAGGCCTCGGTGTTTCTAGAGAGCCTGTCTTTGGGGCACATGCTGTGGTGTCTTTCTTTTCTGAGGTGTTATCCGTGCCCCAGCCCCATCAGCTGAAACAGGCCTTCACCCTCACTCGTTAGTGCCCTGAGGTGGGCGTGCACAGTGCAGGTGACAGTGGGGCCTGGAAGCTGGGCTTGGAGCAGGGAGGGCTGCAGGCTCCACACTCTGTGAGTCGTGGCGCCTGTTAGAGCAGGAGCCGTGACAGTGAGGACCTGGATTGCTTGTGGGGGAAAGTATGCAAAGTACCTATCAAAATCTTAAAAGTAATATCTTCCGTAGATTTTTGTTTTTGAGAAACAAATTTGTTAATTATATCAAATTTTTGGATTTTAAGGGATGTTATATCTAGAAATCTAGATTTCAGATTTCCATTTTAAGTAAAACTGTCTTTGCTTTCAGAAAAGATCCTCATGGATTTTTTGCTTTTCCTGTCACGGATGCAATTGCTCCTGGATATTCAATGATAATAAAACATCCAATGGATTTTGGCACGATGAAAGACAAAATCGTAGCTAATGAATACAAGTCAGTCACAGAATTTAAGGTAAATTAATTTCATTTCCTCTGTGTGTTTATGTTCAGTGAATACATAGTTGCTGGGCATGTTGTGCCTTGATTGGTTTCTTATGTAGAACAGATGGCATTTCTATGTTTGGGTGACGTTTTACAAACACAGCATTGAGGAAATGGGTTTGCTGTGAACATTTCCTCCGCGTTTTGGTCCAGAAGTGAGACTATATGTTGTATGCTAGTAGTATGTTCTTTTATTATTTTTTTTTCTCTTTATTTTATTTTATTTATTTATTTATTTTTAATTGAATGGTAACTATGTACATTAATGCACTTCTGGGGTACAGTGTAGGGTTTTCACATGCAATCTGAAATACTTCCATCAAACTGGTCAACACAGCCTTCATGTCATTTTCTGTTATTGCTTTAAAATGTTCACATTCTACTCTTAGAAAGATTCACCTGTACCCCTATAAGACAAACCTCAGAAGTGATCCCTCCAAACCCCCTCCCTCCACCCATTCTCCCCTCCCTTCTCTCTCCCCCTTCCCCATATTCTTAGGCTATTTGGTTATAGCTTTCGTATAAAAGGTATAAATTAGTTTCATAAAAATATGGAACGCTTCACGAATTTGCGTGTCATCCTTGCGCAGGGGCCATGCTAATCTTCTCTGTATCGTTCCAATTTTAGTATATGTGCTGCCGAAGCGAGCACTTTTTTTTCTCTTTCAAGATACTGTAGTGGCACAGACAGGACGTGTTGGTTCAAGCATTATGTCCTATTTGGCCTGGCTTGAGAATGGATATTTTTAGAAACATAATTTCCCTAGTTCTTAGTTTTTCTCTTGTAATAATTGGGTGTTCATTCTTTTAGCATATTCAATTTTTAATTCTCTTAAGTACTTTTCTCTTAATTCTCTATTTCTTGGTACTAGCTATAAGAGTAAGAAATTGCTTATTGGTTTTGAACACGGGTAAAAGGCTTGATAACATTGGCATTGATGTCATTTTGAAAAAAAGCATTAGGTTTTTTTGTTAGTTCCCATTAACTTTAGAAAAGGTTGACTTTTCTGGTCTTATTTACTGGAGACAGTTACGGAGGTTTTGCTGACACAGAAACATAACAGGACAGACTAAAAAGAGAAACAGAGAAAAGGAGGCTTCCTGAGAAACTTGCATGAAGGTTGTGAGGGCAGGTTATAGGCAGGGACCCACGCCTTGCAGTCTTCCACACTCCTAGCTGTGGCCCCCAGGCTGCTCATTCCTGGTGACAAACCCATAAGATGAGCAGCCTTCACTCTGCTCCCTGTTCTCAGCAAGAGTATTTGGGATATATGACAGGTGTGGGCACCTCGGGGCAGGCCCTGGGACACTACACAGAATGGCATTCTGTTTTACTAGGGCAGCTGACATTCAGTGGTCATTCTCCATCTGGTATCACAGCTCCCCTGCCAGAGGCATGTGCTAAGGAGTTGGTCATGATAATAGAGTACTGATTGCCTTGTCACATTCCTATAAATTATTCAGTAAAGCTCTCCTCATTCGTGGGAACATCTTTCCTTAGTAGTTCCAGGGGACTATTTGTCGGTAAGATTTTAAATTCTGTTCCATGGAAAAACCGAGAGATGGAAGATGTCATTGTGTACCATCCCTCACATCATCCCTTGGCTTTTACTTAAAAGAATGAAGTTGTTGCTCCTTCCTATTTACATCCAAGTTCCTCCTAAAGAGAGGGAGGAGGGCATGAGAAGAGAAGGGAGCTGGAAATGCTCATTCTTCTTCTTGCAAAAGGTGTTTACAGCTTATGACAACAAGTTGTAGACTTTAGCCAACTCTTCAGTGGAAAATTTTTTATACAATTAAGGATCAATGAGCAACTATGAGAATTTCTGAGTTCTTAAAAATTATTTTAGATCCAAGAGCAAAGTTGGTTTTCCACTCCATTTCAGCCTTTGCTCTTGACTTTCTGACAGGAGTGGAGAGCTCTGTGCTGTTGTCTGTGTGTGTCTCAGATTTGACAACTCTTTTCTGTTTTTAGGCAGATTTCAAACTGATGTGTGATAATGCAATGACATACAACAGACCAGATACTGTGTACTACAAGCTGGCCAAGAAGATCCTTCATGCAGGCTTTAAGATGATGAGCAAAGTAAGAAACCCACTAATAGCAGAGAACCAAGGAAAACATGAGTTGTTCTCCAGAAACTCACAATGACTGCCATGCTCCATCCACCCATCGCCGTCATGGTGTTGACTCTGCTCTAGGGTAGACGTCCTGGGCCACCCTCTCCGGTCTGCCCCCTTCCTGCACCTGCTCCCCGCCTAGCTGTAGCATCTCGTTGAGGGTTGGCAGCACACATTCTGGATCTGTTGATCTCAAGCCCGGTGTCTGTCATGCTGGGTTGCAGCAGCCTTGTAGGCTTGCTTGCACAGCTGCACACCGCATCCAGATAGGACATTCTAGTCCTCTGCCATCCCGAGTGGTTTCTCAGATCTGTACGTGAGCCAGGCTGTAGGTACCATGCACAGGGGAGCTGTGTGCCATGCTCTGGCTTTCCTTCTCTGCTGGCTCTGAGCTGTGCCCCTACCACCACCTCACACTGCGCCATGGAGGGTTAAGTGGTCAGGCCAGGTGAGGCTGTGGCCATCCCCATCCCATCCATCGTCATGGCACCATGGCCGTGAGGAGAGGTAAAGTCCTCTGCTCTGTGCTCTCTGATTCTAGGAGCGGCTGTTAGCTTTGAGGCGCAGCGTGTCGTTTATGCAGGACATGGATTTCTCTCAGCAGGCAGCTCTCTTGGGCAGTGAAGACACAGCTGCTGAGGAGCCCGTCCCTGAGGTTGTGCCTGTGCAAGTAGAAACTGCCAAGAAATCCAAAAAGCCGAGCAGAGAAGTGATCAGGTAAAACTCTAGGGGACTGTGTCCACCCAGAGGTCGGGAAGGTGGATGCTTTATGTGGAGAGCATGGCTTGTTGTGTAGACTTCCTCGGCCTGGCTCTTCAGCCAGCCAGAGAGTGGTGGGCCACATCTTGAGGTCTGCATCCCAGCCCTAGTATTTCAGAGGGAAGCAACATTCCTCCCTCCGCTCCTTGAGTGAGATTGTCTAGGTAATGTCACCACTATCACCAAAAGCACCAGAAAACTCTGGCAGCTTGTTGCACTGAGGACCAGAATGTGGAAGGGCTGGACAGCCCATCTTGCCTGCCTGCTACATGTGCTGTCTGGCCCAGGTGTGGTCCAGCAAGCGCATCCAGCTGCTCTGCTCACATCCACCCTTAGTTGCTGCTGCGTCCAGATGCCCCTGTTGTGCTGTTCGTTACCATCTGTTGCCCCTTCATTCCTAGGAATCCCCCTTCCATGTGCAGCATCTGCCAACAGCCTGGGCCATGGCCTGCCCCAGAGCTCCTGAGACACACTGTGGCCCACCTTGGGTACTCCGGGGCCTGCTTTCTTGGGTCAGGACAGGCATACACACTCTACAGGTGTGCGGATGCTGGCCTCTCAGGAGGGCTCAAGGTTGGGCAGGTGTGGGAGCTGCCAGGCAGACAGCGACAGCAGCAGCTCCTCAGGGCTCTGTTCACCCCACAGGTGGCAACTGACAGGGGTGATCCTGGAGGGAACCGTCTTCTTACGCACAGAATGCACTGGGGTTCTCATGGGCCCCTTTGCCTTCCTGTGGCAGCGGAGAGTCTGTTTCATTTGTACAGATGCTCTTTGACTTAATGGTGAGGCTGTGTCCTGATACACTCTTCATGAGGTAAAAATGTGTCAGAACCTGCTTAGATGCTCCGGGTTTAGAGAACATCTCAGGTTAGCCTGCCGTACCTTAAATGTGCTCAGAGCACTTACAGTAGCCCACAGTGGGGCAAAATTGTGTAATACAGCCAGTTTTTACAGTAGTGTTGAGCATCTCATGTAGATTATCAAATACGGGATGCTAGCTGCGTGGCTGATGACCACTACCGCTGCCACCCTCATGAGAGGGTCCCGCCATATATTGCAAGCCTGGGAAAAGAGCAGAGTCAAAGTTCACTTTCTATTGAACGTAAAGCTCTTTCAAACCATTGTAAAGTTAAAAAATCATAAGTCAAATTACAATTAATTTGTCATGTTACTTATGATTATATAATTTTTTTCTCTTTTTTCATGTCCTATAGTTTTAAAAGGGATAATTATGTAATTATTAGTTATGATTAGTCATTGTGAGCAGGGGACCAACTGTGGTTGGCTTTTTTGGTGGTTGGAGGGGGGCATTATTTTATAGGGTTTTTTCTTTTTTTTAATTTTTTTTAATGAGACAGGGTCTTGCTCTGTCACCCAGGCTGGGGTGCAGTGGTATTGTAATAGCTCACTGCAGCTTCAGCTCCTGGGATCATGTGGATCCTCCCACCTCAGCCTTCCAGCCAGGTAGCTGGGACTCCAGGTGTACACCACCATGTCCAGCTAATTTTTTTTAATTTTTGTAGAGATAGGTCTTACTGTCTTGCTCAGACTGGCCTCAAGCAGTTAGCCTACCTCAGCATCCCAGAGTGTTGGAGTGGCGCCTGTGGCTCAAAAGAGTAGGGCGCCAGCCCCATATGCTGGAGATGGCAGGTTGAAACCCAGCCCTGGCCAAAAAAAAAAAACAAAAAAAAAACAGCATCTCAGAGTGTTGGGACGCGCCAGGCCCTGTAGTAGGTTTTAAATATCTTTGAGGAAATTGTAGTAAGTCATGACCTCGTTGTTTATTTTCCAAAAGTGTGTGCTCTTTATATCCAACCTGCCTATTGATGGCAGGTGTGGGGCTCTCCTGGGAGGATAGATGGGGCGGCAGAGGCGCTGTGCTGGGGCTCACTCATGTCTGCTCTGGGTACCTCCCTCTGACCACAAGACCACCCCTCAGGTCCTGCGGTCTTGGCACACTTGAAGTTGAGGAGCAGAAGGGTGCCCACGTGATGTAGAAGTGGCTGGCCGTGTCCTAAAGAGGTTCTCACCCTCTGCCATGTAGATGTTGGTGCATCTTTGGTTCCTGGCTGTGTCTGGAATCCTTAGTCCTCTGCCTTGAAGGAGTGTTACTGGCCTGTGGCCTGGATTTGAGTGATCTTGATGCTGAGCCCACCCTTCCTCTGTGAGGTTGAGGGCCCTCAGGGTGGCAAAGTTGGGGTCTCCTCTGATTCCCAGATATCCATATGTGCTCTATTTAGCAGAGCCCCTGGACTGCAACACTCACATCCCAGATATGTGTGTGTGGTTGCCGCTGGCACAGCTGGGTATCACCCAAGCCCTGGGGTCCAGAGCTATGCACTCAACGTTCTTGCTGCTGCTCATCAAAGACCAGCACAGGGCATTGTTCCAGGCTTGTAGCTGTCCCTTAGCCATTTTGGGACCCAGGCACATGTCCAGGCAGGGCAAGGCAAGGGCTCACCCACCTGCTTCTGGAACCTTCCACAGGAGGGAGGGCTGCCGCCTCTGTGCTCTGCCTGAGCCTCTCAGGTGTTTTGAGTTGAAAGTGCCTCGCGGGATCCCAGGCCTCCTGCTGGAGTCTTGGCATGTCCCTCAGATAGCAGCTGTGCACCCAGCCCACGAGGCAGAACCAGTCCCTTTTCTGGTAGTGGTTTTAACCAATGCGGCTTCTGTCAACTTCCACTGGTTTTGTGCTTCTTAAAGCAACAGAAGTGTTCAGCTGAATCATGGAAAGCACAGGGCATCTCCTGGGCTTATGTTTGCCCTTGTTTAATCAGGGGTCCTGTTTTGTGCAGTGAGAAAAAAGGAATGCCCGGGCGGGAGGGGTTGATGTGTGCTCCATCTACACCCTGGAACCATGGTATCTGGGGGCCTGGGGGTCACCACTGTGGGCCAGATACCACCTGGTGGAAACAGTCTCGGTGACAGGTGCCCGCCTGCCTTGCAGCTGCATGTTTGAGCCTGAAGGGAATGCCTGCAGCCTGACCGACAGTACCGCCGAGGAGCACGTGCTGGCACTGGTGGAGCACGCGGCTGATGAGGCTCGGGACCGGATCAACCGGTTCCTCCCAGGTGGCAAGGTAGTGTTCCAGGGATTCTGTTGGGTCCCACACTAGGTGTATGTCTCTTTCCAGGTGAGGCTGAGGCACCCCGGCACAGCTACTGGGTCAGGAAGTGCTCATTGGGACATCATGGGTCCAGGTCAGAAGCACATGCTATTTGTCAGGGTCATTCTGTCAGGGTAGGTGCATCCCTGGCAGGGCCTCTTTAGGAATGGAATATCCTGTGGCATCCTTGCGGCGTCTTGCTAGAGGCCCAGGCTACTGGCTTTTCCACTCCATCTTACTCCTTTTCCCTTTGTGGTGAGTTTTCGCTTCTGAGTATTTGTGGGTGCCTTCCCATTTGTTCAGGTCTCTGAATGCCCCCAGTCACTCATGGGTTGGACTTGGGGCCAGCGGGTTACAAGCACTATCCTGTGGCTGTAGTGCACCACCTGTCCCAGGTGTACCTGATGGAAGCCCATCCAGTTGGCCACTCTGTCCATGAATTAAGGCTTCACTCTCCTGAGCGCCACCTCCTTTCTGTCAAAAGATGTTCTAGGCCAGACAGGCACATCTGGTGGAGACAGAACACAAGTCACATGAACAACTTTAGCTTTCTACCGTGTTTCCCCGAAAGTAAGACCTACCTAAAAAATAAGCCTTAGCAGGATTTCTATACATTTGTTAAATATGAGCCCTATCCCGATAATAAGACCTAGTGATGGGCATGGCTATGCATGGCATGGCCATGCATTTCGGCGGTGCGGAGTGGTAAGGAAAACTGGAATACCTTTTATCTGGCACAGCTCCTTTCTCTGAGCCATTCGCACTTGCGTGGGTGCATGTGTGGTAACTGCCATCGCAGACATCCTGTTGCGCACATGCAGATGGCTAGGGGAAAGGAGTTCACGCATCACTAGTGCCAGCTCCACCAATAAGGTGGGCTCCCCTGTCAGGTTTCAGAAGAAGATGACTTAACTGTATTTGAATAAATGTAGATTGTTGTATTATACTTAACAAATAAGACATCCCCTGAAAATAAGCCCTAGTGTGTCTTCTTGAGAAAAAATAAATATAAGACAGTGTCTTATTTTCGGGGAAACACGATAGCAACCATATTAATAAGAGTAGAGAGATATGTGTGATACTGATCCTAACATGTTTATTTGACCTGATATATCTAGAATCTTACTGTCTCAACACATAAATTATTAAAAACTCAATTAGAAGTTTATATTCCGCATTTAATAATAAGATTTAAAAATACATGTTGCATTGTATATAAACAATGTTGAAATGATAACGTTTTGCAAATGTCAGATCATATAAAACATATTAAAATTAGGCTGTGTGTGGTGGCTTACCTGTAATCCTAGTACTCTGCTAGGCCAAGGCCGGTGGATTGCCTGAGCTCATAGGCTTTGCATGTAGGAGAGCCAGTAGGAGACCCCCAACTCTAAAAATAGCCGTGCGTTGTGGTGGGTTCCTGTAGTCCCAGCTACTTGGGAGGCTGAGGCAAGAGAATCACTTGAGCCCAAGAGTTTGAGGTTGCTAT